CGTGCGCGCACAGCCGCCATCGCACGTGCGACACACCCTTGTGTTCGATCGAGAATGTAACGCGTACATTCGTTCAACCGCCCACGCACTGCGGGCATAATAGGCTGGACGTTTACGCGGAGGTCAAGGAGAGCGCGGAGGAGAGTGGTGCCACAAGCAACCACGCGCCGCCGCCGACTTTAGACGAGCTGTGGGCCGGGCTGAACGACAACCAGGCCTTCCAAAGTACTACTTTTACCTCTACTTTTACGCCGGCCTTTTGGGTTGGCGTTGCCTCACTTACTTACGTATGGCGGGATATGTTGCAGGCTTCGAGCAGCTCATTCTGCAGTTGAACCACCACAAGGAAGGTCCACACACCGAGACCCAGCCCTCGGGTACCCCCACCCTGCTGCGCTTGCACGCAAGCCAACACCGTTTTTGTCTTCTTCAGCTCGAGCTGATGATGACGGTGATGATTGTCGCGTGTCCCCATTAGGATCATTGGGCGGCTACGCGATTACGCAGCAGCAGCGACCGCAGGAGGGCTACCGTAGTGCTGCGCCGACCCCCTACGGCTCATCAGGCCAGGGCTACCAGCCGGCTGTACCCTCTGCAGAGGAGGGTCACGCGTGCTACGGCGCTGCCGGGTACAAGCTGTCTCTGGGCGGCAGCCACCCGCTGTCGGCGTATGGCTCACACGGACCCGAATTCGTGCTCCCGCTGCCCGTCGTGCCCATGTGCCCGACCTTCGACGCTGGCCTCTATTCATCATCTGCGGCCTACACGCTCCACCACGACGCCGACGCCGACTCCGACACCGACGCCAAGCCCAGGAAGGCGAAGGGCTACGCCATGCCAACGACGACAACGACCACCACCACCACAACGACGATCTGCGTGACTCTGCCGGCGGGCCACTGCGTCGCCGGCTACGCGCCTGATCTCGGACGCGGACGCGGGCGGGGTCGTGGCTATGGCGCCGCTTCCGCGTACACGCACGAGGCCACGCCGGCAGGCGGACGCGGGCGGGGTCGAGGCCGAGACTACGCGCCGGATACGAGCGGCAGCGGTGGAGTTGCCGTCAACCAGCCCTACCAGCCGAACAGCAACGGCGGGGCCTCGTTCTGGCCGACATCGCTGTTCAGCTTCTTCAGCTTTGGCGCGACCGCGACGATGACGAGCGTAGATCCGTCCTCGTTCTCTGACGACTTTGTCGGTACTGCCGTCACCGTCAGGTCTTGCTGAGATATCTGTGGGCACTCACCCGCTCTCGCATGGTGTCTGATGTGTGTTGTGTGTTCGCTAGCGCCGAGTGAGCCCACATTTTCAGGCGATGATGCGGGCGAGAGCAATCCCTACGCCAACACCAGTGGCGTCGGCTACTCCGCGATGCGAGGTACGCCCACCTTTTTTGTACAAATCTTCGAGAAACAGTTTGCTGACGTGGCACATTTGAACACATCGCGTGTGTGGCCTCACAAAGCCGAGCGCAAGGAGAGCACCGGTGGGCCGTACTCGTCGTTGCACAGTTCCGGCTACGTCGGCTCCGACATACGTACGCCACAGCAGTACTCTTTTTTTCCAATCTCTTCTGTTGTGATCTCGTTTTTCTCACACGCCTGGTGGTGTACAGAGCAAGGCGGCATTGGGGCGGGCGTGCGTCCGCTGTTGGGCGACCTCGAACGCTACAGCGACGCTCCGGAAGAAGACGAAGACGACTACGATGCCGGTGAGGGGTACAACGGCGGTTACGACCGGAGCGCAGCGACCGACACCGATTCGTACTACGCGCACGATGGCACGCCCTACGGCAGCCACGCGCAACACGACGATGACGGCGATGACGGCGATGAGCCCGAAGAGAACTGGAGCGACGATGATGAGGACCACATCGCCGCGGGGGGCTACCAGCGGGACATGAACGGCGGCAGCGGCTATGACATCGGCTACGACGGCAGACACGAGGCTGCGGGCGACTCGGAAGAGGCCGGCGAGCCCTGTGGTCGCGAGGCCGGGGTGGTCCACCACGCTCACGACGTGGACTACTGCGAACAGCACCGTCCGCGGACCAGCGCCGACTGGGACGGCATGGCCCGGGACTGGACGCAGGAGTTCCACCGCATCGTGCGCGGCATGGACGACACCAGTTCCACCCACGACGCCAAGAAGCGCATGCACGTCGCCGAGCAACTGGTACTCGCTCCCATCTTTACTCCCGCGTGTGCGGTGGTACGTGTGCGCGTGCGCTCGATCTCATTCGTTTCCTGTCGGTTGTAGCAAGGGCTGTACACCGAGTTCGTGTCGGTGGCCAAGGCGATCGGTACGTCGTGTTGAAGAGTGCGCGCGCGGTAGAAGGACGCTGGAAGTGTACTAATACTGTGTCCCCTGTCTGTCCTGCAGGCGAAACGATCATCCGCGAGCGCAGCCTCCCCAACGCGCTGAAGACCATCAAGCCCTCCGATGACTTTGGCGGCATTGCCGGTACGATGCACACAACAACAACTCAGCGCATGCCTCCACACGCTAGCTGCACCCTTCCCTTTCAGTGTCGGCGCCGTTGTGGGATGTTAAAGCTTGTGCGTGGGTACTGCGACAGGCGGAGAGAAGTTCTGTGTGGCGGGCATCTTTTTCAAGTTCGCCATCGACAACAACAACATCTACGGTTCCTACTCCTACTCCTTCTCCTCCTACTTCTTGCTCGCCTGCTCTCTATGCGCTGTGGGTAGATGCCGCTCACCCCGCCCAAAACCAATCGACGTATCGAACAGGCAACGACGGTCTCGCCGCCAAGTGCGCCGGTCACGAGCTCAAGGCCGCAAGCGCCCTCTTCTCCTGCGGCATGCTCGTCGGCCTGCACAGGTGAGACGTCGCACACCTTCAGTCGCCTGCCCCTCTCTCCTCCCAATTGCATCCTCGACTCGTGGGGCTGACGCGTACACGTGATGTCACATAACACACCCAGCCCGCTGGTGGCGCTGCTCGATTGGTGGGGCTACCGACTGATGTGCTACTCCATGCTGCCCATCACGGCCGAGACCCTGGCCTACGGCTCGGCCGACGGTGGCAACACGGGTACCCGCCCGCGTATTTATAATGTTTTATATGATTTTTTATTATTTTATTATTTTATTTTCTTATTATTGACCCTGTTCGTCCGGGCACTGCAGTGCACAGTGGCATCCAGGAGCTGAACAAGCGGATCAAGGTGGTGTCGACGGTGCTCAACCTCAAGGGCCACTGGGCAGGCCTCGCCCAGAAACGGTTCCTCTACACCTGCTGCGACATCGGTACGACGTGTCCCACCAGCTCGAGCCGCCCCACTGCTAGCCGCATTCCTCACACTTGCGTGTGCGTGTGCGGTGGCGTGCGTGCGTGCGCGTGTAAACAGAGGGTCACCGCGGCGCGGACGGGCACTATTACGTCGTGGTACGCAGCTCAGTCACAATGTGCCGCGATGTGTCGGCCCCAATGGCTCACGCTCGAACCGCAGGACACGGCCCGGCTGTTTCCACCAGAGGCGCCCGTGGAGGGAGCACCGCCCACGTCGTTCCTCTACCGTCTCCTCAGGCCCGAGTTCGTGCGCGAGTACGACCGGCCGCTGTCCAGCGACGCCTTCAGCAAGTTCGGCGAAGACGACCATCAGGCCCACAACCAAGAGGTTGGTTCCTCTCATCTGGTCCTGGAATGTACGCGCATTACTCAAATTCCTTGTTCGCACACTCGCCACCGCCCGGCGCAGGTGAGGAATGCGACGGAGAGGCTCAAGCAGGACGTCATCCGCCGCTTTGCCGACGAGCTGGAGTCTAACGTGGCCTCATCGTCGTCGTGGCCCTATCCCGGCGACACCTTGGTCCAAGGTTGGCAACTCCCCCGCACGCGCGATGCGCCGATGTGTGGAGGTGCTCACTCTGATGGTGTGTGCGTGTGTGTTGACAGAGCTTCATCGGCGCGGCATCAACGTGCGCGGGCTCGCGCTGCTGCTCAACCACGTGTCACATCCGCAGCTGCGCGCTCGTCTTCTCTCCGAACTCATCGCCCGCGCCATCAAGGTACCGTTTCATCTGCACGTGTGCGTGTGCGGTGTGGCCTTACCCTTTTTCGCTTTTCTGTCGACTCAACAAACAGTGGGACGTGAGGGCGGCCATGCGCGGCAAGATCAAGGCCGAGATGAAGCGGGCTCGCGACGAGCGCCGCCGCAGGGCAGCTTCACCACCACCGCCGCCGTCGTCTTCGTCATCGACTGCGACCGGCGAGTGCCGCAAGTGCGCGCTGGAGCGGGAGATGCGCGGCATGGTCTGCGAGTGCTTCCGGCGGGCGTTCGCCGACGGTCCCGCGGAGCTGTGGGCGCGCGTGCGGAGCCGCCTCTGCGCGCTCTACCCCGGCTTTGCTGCCAAGGCCGCCGGAGCTGAGGGCGGGGAGCAGGAGCAAGTGCTGCGCCACTTGTCCCTCCCGGACATACTCCACCGCGTTGAGGCCATGCTCGGCATCACCTTCGCCTCCAAAGACCTCAAGCCCGGTATGACACGCACACGCACACGCACACGCAGGCGCGTAAAGAGTGCTCACGCAAGCGTGGAAAACAGGCGAGACGCTGGAGCAGGGGATGTTCGCGGAGGAGCAGCTGGGCGGCATAGAGATCCGTACGAAGGAGGCCTACGTGCTGCCGCGCATCCAGGCCGACTGCTACGCGCTCCTCGCCGCCCGCAAGAAGAGCAAAATCGACCGAGGCGGCCCCAAGAAGCAGGTGCACAATATAATTTATATTTATATTTCAATAATGCTTTCTTTATTTGTGTTTATATATTTTATTATGTATTTATTTATTGTTTGGTTTTTTTTTTCGCTCGAGCAGGAGGCGGTGTGCTATTTCCGCATGGCGGCGGGACTGTACGAGAACGTGATCAAGTGCAAGGCCAACGACGAGTACGCCCTCTACAACTGGGGGCTCGCGCTCCTCCACGGCGCCGAGCTGGTACGTCTCTGTGTCTGTGTCGCCGACGTTCCCCGGTGTCGCCCCTCTTTTTCTTCTTCTGACTCGCTCACCGCCGACGACGACGGCGACGATGACGGCAGGAGGGAACGGCGGACGGCGCGCGGGAGGCGGTGGCCAAGTTCGGGGCGTGTCTCGATGTGTGCCGGCGCGCGGTCCCGCCCAACCACGACCTTGCCGCCCTCGGCCTCAAGGCCGCCGCCGAGTGCCTGGCCTACCTCGCCTCCCTTCCTCCCACCACAATTGCCGGTACCCTATCGTCGTGTGTCGTGCCGAGCGGTGTGTGTGTTGTGTGTTGTGTGTTGTGTGTGTGTGTGTGTGTGTGTGTGTGTGTGTGTGTCGTGCCGAGCGATGATCTAATATGCAATGCTCATGGTAGGAGTCGAGGCGACGAACAAGCAGTGGCTGTTCCTTCAGGCCGATCGGCATTTTAGCGCCGCCTTGGCCATTCTCACGCAGCTCTCGTCATCGCCATCCGACCTGTCGCCCATCCCAGCGCCTCTTGAGGCCGCATCCTCTTCATCGTCGCCCTTCGACGCGCCCGCGTCGCTGACCTCCGACTTGGACGCTTTCTTTTCCTCGGCCGCCGCCCTCCTTCCCGCGGCCAGCGCGTCGGCGGCGGCGTGGGTTGGCGGCGACCACGAAGACGAGATCCTGCGCCTGCTCTACAACTGGGCCAACCTGCGGCGCGCGTGGGCGGCGGCAGGTACGAGCGGCGGCGACGATGATGTCCAAGCGCGTCGTCGCACGCTCCTGCTGGAGGCCTCGCTCGCGCTCTACCAGCTGTGCATGCCGGCCATCGCGCGGTGGACCACCTCGGCCAAGAGCGAAAACGACGCGAAGACGAACGCGAAGAAGGAAGAAAACGGCGCCGGCGAGGAGTGGAGCAAGGGCCAGGAGGACCTGCGCGCGGCCGCGAGCCACATCCCCACCTGGTACAGCGAGCACCGGGCGCAGCCTACGGAGGTGACCAACCACCAGCAGCCGCGGGCCGCGAAGGGCACACGCGAGGAGAAGGAGGCCAGGGACCACCGGCGGCGCGCGGCCCAGGTGCTGGCCAACTGGGGCGTGGCCCTGGTCGAGCTCGGGCGGACGGCCGCCGCCGCCACCCCGACCCCGACCCCGGCGCAGCTGCGGTGGTGGGGCGAGGCCAAGGCCAAGCTGGCGGCGGCCGAGGGCGTGGAGTCGGGCGCGGGCGCGTACAACCTGGGCTGCGTGGCCGCGCTTGAGGGCAACGCGGACGACAGCCGGCGGTGGCTCGAGAAGTGCCGGCGCGACGGGCGTGGACCCGCGGTCGAGCTGTGGAGCGGCGACAACGATCTGGCCTCGGTGCGCGACCAGGCCTGGTTCAAGGCCCTTCTGCACCAGCCCGAGGCCACCACAGTGTAATGGTACAAAAATAATAATCAGTAAAAATCAAAACAATTAAATCACAGCTCGCGCTCGAGGAACATGGCGCCGGGGATGGGGTTGAAGACGTAGGGGGCGGTGGGTGTGAACCCGAGCGCCGTGTAGAGCTTGACCGCGGTGGTCATGGTCGGCAGCGTGTCGAGGCGGATGTGCGAGTAGCCGGCCTCGCGCGCCTCCTGGCAGATGCGCTCGGCCAGCCGGCGCCCCAGCTGCTCGCCGCGCACATGCGGCCGCACGTAGAGGCGCTTCATCTCGCAGCAGGCGCCGGCATCAGAGCCGCTGAGCGGACGCAGGGCCACGCAGCCGACCGCCTCGCCTCCACGCCAGGCCAGCAGGAGCCGGCCGGCGGGCACCTCGTACTTGCCCGGCAGGGCGGCCAGCTCGGCTTCGAAGTCCTGGAAGCCCAGGTCGATGCCCAGACCCTCGGCGTACTCGCGGAACAGGCTCCGCACCGCGGCCAGGTCGCCCGGCAGCTCGACAGGTCGTATGGCCGCAGCTGGCAGTGCGAAGGTGGTGGCATTCCCCAAATTCTCTCTGTTTTCGTTCCATTGCAACGTTTCGTTCAAAATAAAATTGACCAACCACGGATAAGAACTAGGTGCAGACCAAATAGGGATTGCTCGGAAGAGATGTAAAACTGACCGAAACTATCATAACTTCGACCGAAACGAGGGTGGAGAGGGGAAAAGGAGAGGGCTTACTTCTTGCCCTCGATGGTCTTCATCCACCTGCTGGGAAGGAATCGCCCCCACATCCGCATAACCACCTTCTTGAAGTAGGCGTGCCTGCCAAAGATCGTCGCTATTGTTGGGAGGAGGTGAGGCGAGCATGGCCGCAGTGGCGAAGACGACATCGTGAAGGCAACACAAACTGCGGAGTGTACCTATACACATGAGGATGAGAGAATACATGGGCATGATGATTGCCACGGAGATGAGGCGGTAGGACCAAGGACCCTCCTTCATCGAACCTGGTTAGCCGCGAACGTGTTGTGTTGTGTTGTGTACGTCACCAAAGGCGATGATGGGTCAGCCAGGCTTGGCCGAGGCGAGGAAAACGCTTCAACTGTTGGCGATACCTTCAAGCTTCAGGAACTTGGTGATGAAAGGTCGCACGAAGAACATGGTGGACGAGCCGGTGATGCCAAACACGGTGAAGATGATGAACATGTCCCACCACCTGCACACATCCACGCGAGGCCATGGCTCTCAGGGGTCAGGAGGTGGTGTGGGACGCTTACTACTCAGTTCACTGCGACAGAGCACATACCAGGCTGTGCTCCACCGAGGGTGCTGCGGCCGCTCGGCGATCCATCGCTCCCAGAACTGCTGCAGCTGGCCCTTGGTGGGCGAGTCTGCTTTGTTACCAGACGATCTCCTGAATGGTATGAATGGTTTTCATTGATTAAATCGAAAAGAGCGTGATTGATTCAAATCGAAGATGTGAGTCGTGACGAGGAGGAGGAGTACCTGAGCATGGTAGTGAGAGCAGAGAAGGTCTTGGAGGTGCTTAATTCGGTGTAGATGAGGCGAGTAGCGGCGGGTCCAAGCGGTCGGCGACTTTGCACGTGGGTGGAGTGGAAGCCGCGCAGCTGTGCAGGTCGACTGCGCAGGAGGGAAAGAGGAGTTGCCGATGTAGATGCGCAGGAAATGAATGCAGTAGGCGCCGCAGGAGAAAATGCTCGTGCAGATCGGGAAACAAGGAGGGTCGACTGTCTGCTTTGCGATGCCAACAAGAAGGTCGGAAGCGTATGTCGTGTTGCTGACTTGCTCCAGGTGCTGCTGCGCATTATCTACTCCAATTCAAGCATTGGCCGACGGGAGCAAGCAAACAGATGTTGAGTACATAAGCGTTTCAAATTCCGATGTGTGGTGGGCATTTTGTCGGCGTGTTGTAAGGAATTTGAACAACTCGCTAGGCAGCTGGTTTGGATGCGCAGGGTGGTGTGGCTCAAGACGAGCAGGGCTCACTTTGGTCTGCGCACGCAGCGTAGCATCTTGCCCAGCTGTAGGACGATGACCTCGCTTGCTCCTTCATTCAATACGAGGCTCGCATCTGTGAGGCCGGCGCCAGCAGCGGTCGGTGATGGTGTGGACAGCATCCAGACGCCCGCACTAATCTTGGACAAGGGAGCGCTACTAGCCAATCTCAGGCGCCTCCCAGCTCTGGTGCGCGAATCGTCCAGCAGCAGCGTGCGCATTAGACCTCACTTCAAGGCACACAAATGTGGCGCGATCGCGAAGCTGCAAATGGAGGAGGGCGAGGCCAGCGGCTTCTGCTTTCAGAAGGTGTCCGAGATGGAGCCCCTCATTCGCTTCTTCGAAGAGGATTCAGCCGATTCTGGCAAGCTGCTCGACCTCCTGGTCACCAACGAGGTCGTCGAGCGCAGCAAGCTGCGGCGCCTCTGCGAGCTCGCCTCGCACCCGAGCGTCAAGCGGGTGGGCGTGGCCGTGGACGACGCCGGCGTGCTCCAGGTGCTGATGGACGAGGCGCGCGCGGCCAGCGGCGGCAGTAGTGCAGCATCGCGGGTGGGCGTTGTGATCGAGATCGACGTGGGCCAGCAGCGGTGCGGCATCGACATCGCGTCCCAGCAGGGCGAGGAGACCTTCGTTGCGCTCGCCCGGCGGCTCATTGCCGCCCATCGGGACCCGAGCGGCCATGTCAGCTTCATCGGCCTGCAGGCCTACCATGGCGGTGGGTGACACACCCCGGCTCTCTCATTTTCGCTTATTGTGCGCTCTTCATAACTCACGGCTTCTTCTTCTTCTCGTTCTTCCTCCTCTTCTTGTTCTTGCAGGGAACCAGCACGTGCGCGCGGCAGCCGATCGAGAGCGAACGGTCCAGCACGTCGCGGCGTTGGCACGGAAGGCGCTCGACCTGCTGCGGGCGAATGACTGCCTGCCCGAGGGCGAGTTCCTCGTCTCTGGCGGTGGCACGGGGAGCTTCCCGTACGAGATCGCTTCGGGCGTCTACAACGAAATCCAGCCCGTACCCGTGCTCCACCCAATGACTGCTCCCTCCGCGCGTGTACACTCACGTGTCGTGTCGTGTCGCGTCGTGCCGTGCCGTGTGCGCACACAGGGGTCGTACGCGCTGATGGACAGGGACTACTGTCTCAACAAGAACGCCGAGGACCGCACGGAATCGCCCTTCAAGAACAGCATGTTCATTCTCTCCACGGTGATCAGCACCGCGAGCGCCGGTCGCGGCTGGGTCACACTCGACGCAGGTGCCTTACACTCTCCTCTCCTCATCTTCACCACCCCAGTATCAGCGCTCAATCGCCTGCGTTTTGCGTTTTGTTGTTCAGGGTTGAAGGCGTATGCCGTGGATTCGGGGCTGCCGGTCGTGTGGCAGAACGACGAACTCGATTGCGAGCAAGCCGGCGATGAGCACACCAAGCTGATCCCGCGCACGCCGGGCAACCTGGCCGCCCTTGCCCACTTCAAGGTGGGCGACAGGGTGTGGCTGGTGCCGGGCCACTGCGACCCGACGTCCAACCTCTACGACTGGATGGTGGCCGTGCAGGAGGACAAGGTGACCGACGTCTGGGCCGTCTCCGCGCGAGGACCCGGCATGTGAGTGCCAGAGTGCCCACCTGTGTTCGGTGGTTGCAACCGGCCCAAAATTCTGCAAGAGTGCCGATGATGACGATGGTGGTGTGCTTCAACTTGCACAGAACAACCGGTGCGAACGATGATCACGAAAACGGCGACCATCGGTCCTCCTTCAGCAGTCGAATGCCTGCAGTTGCGAAGAGCGGCGTGTGCGTGTGCGTGTGCGGTGGCGTGATGACGGGTGAGATCGTTTGCATGCGCGTGGGAGGAGGAGCGGCGGCGTACTGGAGAACCAGGGCTGCGGGAAGGCGTCCCAATCGACCCACTCCCAGGACTCGCACTTGTGGGGCTCCATCACCTCCGCCTCCTGCTCCTCGCTCCGTCGGTGGGCCAGGAAGAAGAGCGTGACGTAGTGCAGGTTGTAGGCCACCACGTTCACCACCGTCGCGAACCTGAAGATGTGGCGGGTCAGCTCGTGCTCTGACCTCTTCTTCTTCTTCCATCAGCTGCTAAAACCCTTCAGGGTGGCTGGGCACTTACTTGAAGTCGTCGCCCAGCTCCAGGCCGGTCTCCTCCATCACCTCCCGCCGCCCGGCCTCCTCCCACGACTCGCCGAAATCGAGGTGCCCACCGGGAAGAGCGTAGCAGCCTGGCACGCACCCCCCAGACCGACCAACTTGGTTCAGCTGAAGGTCGTGATCATGATGGGAAGGAGAAGGCTCGGGGGGGGGGGATGTATAGACCTTGGCCGTGCGATCCCTTGCGCTTCCCCACGAGCACCTTGTTGTCGCTACGCCGGGCGACGATCACTGCGATGCCCACTCTGGGGACCCGCTGCGCAGCACCCAGAGTGTAAGTGTAAGTTTAACCTCACACCACCACCCAACCAAAAAAAAAGAGTGTTTGTATCGAGGCTGGATAACGACGGGTGCGTCGCGTTTTAGTGTTTTAGCGCAGAGCGTGTGCGTCACAAACACAAACACAACCACCAGCTCCAGAGGCCACCCACTCACTGACGGCAGCAGGTTGAACGAGGTGGTTAATATATATAAAAATGGATAAACACATTGAGGTGTGACGTACCTGAACGTCCTTGGGGAAGGCGAACTTGTCGGTGCCATCGAGGAGCTTGTAGAGCGAGTCCACCACTGGGAAGTGGTGGCCCTCGGGCAGAGCCTTGTTTCCGGGCCTGTCGGCCAGGGCGGCGTGCCAGCCGGCCTTCTCAGCAGCGTAGGCCTACGTAGGTGGTGAGTCAGTTGTATGTTAGACAAAAGAGATGGTGTGTGTGTGTGTACCTCGAGGATGTTGTCGGTGGCGAAGAGCGTGTGCTCGGGGGCGACGCCGATGGCCTTGGTGATATTGTCGTAGCTGGGCGACTCGACCTTGAGTCCGATGGTGGTGTCGAAGTGGCCCTTGAAGAAGTGCAGCAGATCGCCTGCGTGGTTTGTTGTCCAGGCGAAAAGTCCCGAGTTGAGAAGGCGGCCATATTTAAGCCGTAAAAGACGTTCGTTTTGCATGACGTACCGGCGGCGGTGTGGCCAAAGAGCAGCTTCTGGGCGTGCACCGAGCCGGACGAGTAGATGTAGGTGGGGATCATGAGCTCGTCAAGACGCTTCAAGAAGGGGATCACGTCCTCATACACACTGCGGTGGTGATGATGTCACACATCATCAACAGTCGCACATCAGCTATACACCACGAAAAATGAACAGAAAATGAGTACGCACTCGCCGATGAGCTCGCCAGAAGCGAATCCGCTCTCCCACATGTGGCCCTGGAGAGCTGAAGCAAGACAGAGTCAGACAGGTCTGCTGTGGAAGAGGAGCGGGGTGGCGGGTGGGTACCCTTGAGGGCGGTGCTCTTCCGGTCCTGGTCCATCTGCCACGTCACGTTCTTCACGACCTTGCCCAAGGCGGTGGCCTTGTCGCCCTCCTCGGGGATCACCGGCACACCCTGGCCACGACCACCATCATCGCCACACAGGCAAAGAAGGAGGAGGAGAAAAAGTAGAAGTTGAGGCGCTGGAACCGACCGAAGGGAAGTAGAGGCAGAGGAGGTGTAGCGTACTGCGACGCCGTTCTTGGCGTCCTCCTGGGACAGCTCGCGGAGGAGCTTGACGTCGGCTTGAAGCTGCGCCTCGTCCCAGTGCTGGTCGAGGTAGGTCTGCAAGTTGCGCCTCACATAGGGGAACATCACATCGGCCACGAACGAGCTGCAGAGACGCCGAAACGGAGAATTGGAATAAAAATCAAATTATAGAAAATTTGCAGGTTGCAACAAAGATGGCAAACGATGGGGACGCACATAGAGGTCGTGGTGCCCTCGATGTCGAGGACAACGGCACCAATGAGCGAAGGCGAACTCATATCTTTGCTGGCTTGCGATGGTGGCGGAGAACGAAACGAAAGAGAAAAGTCGGAAAACTGCAAAGAAACAAAAGAAAGTCCAGAATCTTCGCGAAGCACAAAACGCGGGAAGCACTCCATCTTGGCAAGCGCACGTTGCACGCTGAACCATGGGAGACGAGGTACCTCTTGATCCTTGTGACTTAGAATTGAATTATTTACAGGCGAAATGTTGCCAATTGTTGCTTTCAATTGTTAATCTGTTAATTTGATGATGATCGCTGCAGGTGCTGCCCTGGCGCTTTATCGAAGCGGGAGCAGTCACAGTGAGCAATGAGTACCCGGAGGATGATACTCCTGCGGAGGCTCAATACCTTGCTGTCTCCAACCGTTTTGGCTTCACAGCAATCTACACTTGGAAATCACGTACCGTTCTCCATCTCCTGCAACTGCGCCCACTCCTTTTAACCCTTGATGCGCGCAGACCTCTTGTTCGCCAAGACAAACCGCCTTGTCGACTTGGCCAAGGCCAAGGCCAACCTGTTGGAGGGCGCCGCCGCTGAGGTCGTACAAGCTCCCGTGAAGGGATTCGTGAAGGGCCTCTATCTCTCCAGCGACGAGCTTGTACTGGCCTTGGCGAAGCGGCGATCCGTACTCTTCTTTTCTGCCAAGGCACTAGAGCAAAAGGTACACTCCATCATGATGTGAAGCTGGTTTCTTCATCGCACAGCAAGCTGATCGCTCTCTTGTTTTGGGCGAACGTCACATGAGAAGAATCCGGCACCACTCGGCAAGGTGCGCATCTGTGCCTCCAAGGACGAGACGGTAGCCCAACTCTCGTGGCATCCGATCATCCCCAATCTGCTCCTTGCGCTCAACTCCAAGGGCAAAGTGACCCTCGTCGACTCGGCAACCCAGCGATCATTGTACGTGACTCTTCATGAAGGCCACCCTCCCCGGGCGCGTGTTCGTGGTTGTTCTGATCTTTGTGTCTTCTGTTGTAACACAATAGTGATTGGGGCGCTGGGCTGCCGGGTCAGATCGTGTCCCTCACCTGGTCGATCTCGGGCAAGGCGGTCATATGCGGCACCAAGGGCGGTGATGTGCTGTGGGCCAGCAAAGATGGGCAGCTCCGTGGGAAGTTCCCCAAGCCGGAATCCGCCTTCTCCGGAGAAGAATGCGAAGGTAGCATGAGCCCTGATCACCACTAGTCTTCCTCCACTAGAAAGCCAAGTGCTGCTTGATCTCTAACACACGAGCTCTCCTCTCTCACGTGCAGCGCATCAGGTGCTGAACATCAGCGCTCGGACGATCGGCGTAGCTTATCGCCCCGTTGAAAACCCTGGCGACAGCATGTTCTATTACATGGAGCTGCCTAAGGAGGTCTGTTATTACCACAAGCTTCCCTATGCGTTTGTCGATCGTTTCTAACCAATTGATTACCTCTTAAGGCGTCGGAGCAAGCCAAGGTGACCCAATTGAGCTACCTCGGCATGGGCAATCCGCAGCGCACAAGCTTCTACCACTTCGGAAAGTATGTGAACCCTCCATTTCCTTCACTCGTTCCATTCACCTGTGTGTTTTTGGGCTCGGTCTAATTCACACACGTACGCTCCTTATTTCAGGGTCAAGGACTGGGGCCTGCTGATGGTAGGCGGCAGCAATTTTGCCGAGATCGAGGTGCTCAGCACCGAGAACTCCGCGAGCACCGACGAGCCATTGGATCCCCTGTCCCTGAACGACTCGTTCCGCGCGCAGGTGCCCATGAGAGCCGAGGGTACGCACAGATCACTTCGTCCCTTTGCACACGTGCACTTGTTCTAAAAACCTTTGCGCACTCATCTGTAGGTGATAACCACTTGATCGGTATGGTCTTTGACTTCACCAAGCCCGATCCGATGCCCGACCCAACGAACGCGGACCGGACACCCTTTGCGCCTTCTCCCGTCCTTTTCCTTCTCATTGACGAGGGTACAGCTCACCATGCCAAACTTGCCGAGTGATTCTGGTTGCTGATCGTTTCTCCTCTGACACTCATCGTCGGCGCCATTCAGGCAAACTCCTGGCATACGTGTTTGTGAAGACGGACCTCCCCAAGGACGAGAACCTCAAGCTGCCCTTCATGATACAGCCCGTTCCCATTCCTGCCACACAGACCGTTCCCCCTCTGACCGCGAAGCCCGAGCTCGTCCCGTCCGTGGCACTCACGGCGGTTCCGGCCGAGACGAGTACGCTGCTTTGTCCCTTGTCAGTTGGTTTACCACGGTGCATACCGCGCAGTTGCTAACTTCGGTTATTAGGCGCGGCCGCAGCCACACCGCTATCGCCCCCGGGCCAGCGTAACTCGTTGCGTCAGGCATCGCACGGCCTAGGCGCAGCAATGAAGCCCCCCGTACCTTCGGCACCCGTGACCGCTGCCTCTGCTGCTGGTGGGCCATCCCTCCCCTCTTTCAGTTTTGACGCGCCGTCGGGGACAGACGCCGGCGCCGCCTTCACCTTCGGCGCTCCGACGCCTGCCCTGCAGGGGAAGAAGCCTGAGGACACAGCGACTAAACCAGCTGCTGCGCCCGCCTTCTCCTTTGGCGCGCCGTCGGCGACCGCGGCGCCGTTATCAGGTGCTGGCGCTCCCCCGTTCACGCTCGGACTCCCCAAGCCGGCCGCCGATGCGGCCAAGCCCGCGCCCGTCGGACTCCCCAAGCCGACCCCCACCGCAGCGACGGCTCCTCCGCTATTCCCCGCGCTCGGTGCCGCGACAGCTGCGCCGCCTTTCTCGTCGTTCCCGTCGGCTGCTGCCGTCCAGCCCGCAAAGCCCAAGCCGCAGGAGGCACCCACGTTTATCCTTCCCTCGCCTATTACGGAGCCCAGACTGCCCGCAGCCCAACCCACGAAACCGACCGCCGTCCAGCCTTCTGTCGCTACTGCGCCGACATCCCGCGCAGCAGTGGCTGCTGCGGCGGCCGGCGCTGGACCCAAGCTCGCAACACCCGCCCCCGCCGTTGCTGCTGCGCCAAAGCCGCGTGAGCCTGTGCCGCGCCGACCTGTCGTCGGCGAGGGAGGCGATGCACGAGATCTTCAGAATCAGTTCATCGAGCACATCGCCAGCTTCGAGCAGGTGCTCGACGAGGTACCTCACTCCTGCTGTGAACTCGTTCCTTGCTGGGATGTTAGGGCCAACGCTCCCCTCTTGGGCAGGTGCGCGCTGCGGAGAAGGAGACTGCGAAGCTGATGCACAAGATCGAGAATGGCCCCGCAACGCCAGGCGGTACGACTTGGCCTTGTAATCAGTGTTTTTTTTTGTTTTTGTTTTGTTTTTTAAGCGGTGAGTGCGTCGTTGACTCAAGTTGCGTCGTTCAAACGCGATACAGAGTTCACCCAGGCCGGGCTTGTGCACCTGCGCAACTTGACGGATCAATTGGTCGATGACCTCAACGCAATCACTGAGCAAAACTTGCAGCAGCAGCGCACGCGGAAGGAGGTTCACGACGACTACATGGAAGGTAGGTCCCGTTCTCTCTCTCTCTCTTCGTCTCACCACTTGCCTGACTCACGACGCCCCGCTTAGCTATGGGCCTGTACACCGATGCCGACAGTCTCTTCCATGCCAAGACCGACAGGCAGTACCAGCTGCTGCTCAACAATCGCAAGCTGGACTCCGAGTCGGCGGCAATGCGGAAGAACATCCACAAGCTGTACGCCGACGTGGAGACCAAGATCGCCGAGGTCGAGACCCACTTGCAGCGCATGTGGGACGTGCAGAGGAGGAAGGAGAAGAAGGTACGCACTCTCGATTCTCGTCGCTATCCATGGTGCCACGCATGGCTCTAATTCCTTCCGTGCTTGGTGCCAGGGTATGCGCGTGCCGGTGGGCGACACTCTGTATCGGACGCTGAAGAGCTACGAGGAAATAGCGCAGACGCAGGCGGTCAAGCTGCAGGACATGATCGAGGATTTCGAGAATCTGAAGATACAGAACGAGTATGCCTCCACGCTCTCGCTCGGTCTCGCAGTTTCGCCCTCACGGGCGGCCTCGCCCGCCGGGAAAAAATCACCCTTCGCTCGGGAACAGCGCCGGTACTGCCTTTCGCCAGCACACGCACACACACGCATACGGCCTTGCTCACGTTCGTTTTCTTCTCCATAGTCGGCTCTCCGTGTTGGACAGAGAGCGGAATGGCGAAGAAGAGGAAGGCGCCCCGCGCCGCCTGGGCGCCGAGCTGCCAGCCACGCCCAGCGGCAAGGTCTACAACCAACGCATGAAGGAGCTGAAGAAGATCATCACCCAACGCGTGCGCAACACCCCGCGGCGAAGCCCCGTCGGCAAGACCCCGGCAGCAGCCACCGGTGGCAGGCCTGGCACGCAGCCAGGAGCCAGGTCTGCTGCGGTCACACCGAGCACTCCCTCGTTCTCGTCGGCGAGCGCCGCGCCGGTTCGCACGGCGACCGACAAGCCCGCGCCTCCCCTGCTGTTTGGCGGTGAGAAGCCGGCGGCGGCGGCCAAGCCCGCTGCTGCCGGGCGCTGGGATCAGGGTCCGGCCACCACGTCATCATCGCAGCTCGCCACCCCGTCGTCGGCCCTCTCCTTCGGCGGGCCGGCTGCAGCGTTCGGCAGCGGAGGCTCGACGCCGTCGTCCTTCTCCTTCGGCACATCGCTGACCTCGGCCGCTGGCAGCGAGAAGCCCAAAGCTGTGGGCACGACCTCTGCGACGACTGCAGCAGCAGCCGACAAGGGCGCGGCGGCGGCCGGTGGGTTCGGTGGTGGCTCGTTCTCGCTGCCGTCGTTCAACGTGCCGGAGACGAAGCCCATCTCGGTCTCCTCGCCCACCTCTCCGCAGCAGCGGCTCGTCCCGGTCAACCTGGCGTCGGCCTACTCGCGGTCGGACAGCGACGAAGAGGACGAAGGTGAAGAAGGTGAGTACGACGATGAAGAGGAGGAAGATGAGGAAACCGATGAGGGCGAGTACCCCGACGAAAGCGAGGATGAGTACCCGGACCTCGCCCGCGGCTCTGGCCAGAAACCGGCCCCGACTTTCGCAGCGACTGCTCCCGCCAAACCGAAGGAAGCAACCACCCAGCCCAGCGGTGCAAGTACGATTTCTCTCTCTTCAACACACACACACACACACACACACACGACACGACACGCACACAGTGGAGTGGTTGTGCTCATGATCTTCCACTCTTCAACAAGGCTCGCTGTTTGATTTCAAGCCGTTGCCCAACCCACTGGCATCGGTGGCCGGAGACGTGCGGCCTCCCGGCGAGTTCTCGTTCGGCCCCTCCGTGGCGCCCATCACCTCGTCGGCCGCCAAAAAGGGCGACACCACCACCACCGCCGCAGCCGTCGCAACCGATGCCACCAAGCCCAGTGGCGCGACACTCGGCGCCACCTCCTCCGCTGCCACACCCAAGCGTGCGTACCCTTATCTCTCTCGCCGTCTCGACCCACTCATCGATTCACCGTCGTGCCTGTGGGTGGTTGCTTGACCACCATACAGAGCTTGGCAAGTCGCCCGTGGCCAAGTCACTCTTTGGCAGCACCGATGACGCACCCGTAAGCTTCAGCTTCGCCGGCTCGGGTGCTGCCTCCTCGGCTGCGCCGCTCTCCACCGCTGCCGCACCGCTATCGTCGACTACGCCTGCCTCGTCGTCGTCTGCGCCCTTCGGCTCTTTCTCTCTGCCGAAGCCCGACGCAGCCGCTCCTTCGAGTGCGAGCGCTCCCGCTTTCTCGTTCGCCTCCACGTCGGCCGCCACTGCGCCGGCCACACCCGCAGCCACGACGCCCGCACCTGCTGCCGCCGCAGCCGCAGCCGCTCCTTCGAGTGCGAGCGCCCCAGCTTTCTCGTTCGCCACCACGCCGGCCACTACAACGACGCCGGCACCAGCCGCCGCCGCTGCAGCTTCTGCGCCCGCGGCGGGCAGTTCGACTGCCGCTCCCGCACCGTTCAGCTTGTTCTCCTTCGGCGGCGGCATCACCGACAAGCCGGCGCCCACGACCGCGACGCCGGCTGCCGCCGCCAGTTCTACGTCGGCCTTTGGTTCGTTCTCGTTCTCGTCGACGCCCGCGGCGGCCACTCCTGCCGCCACCGCTGGTGCCCCTGCGACGACCACCTCTGCCGCGCCCTTCGGATCCTTCTCGTTTTCTTCCACGCCAGCAGCTGGCGCTGCTCCCGTGGCGGCCGCTCCAGCTGCGGCGGCGGCGGCCCCGACCGGAGCCTCGCCCTTCGGATCCTTCTCGTTCAGTTCCACGCCAGCCGCTCCAGGTAGTGTGCCGTGTGTGTGTGTGTGTGTGGTCAATGTGATCAAAGGTTTGTTACTGACTCTGCCGCGCGTTGTGTCAGCGTCGGGCGCTGCTGCTCCGTTCGGTGCGGCTGCCGCGCCCGCTGCGACAGGCGGCATGTTTGGCGGCCTGTCATTGGGCACCAGCCAGCCTTCGTCGACGCCCGCGGCCAATCCCTTCGGCTCGGGTCTCTCGACCACCACGCCCGGAGCCTCGGCCACCACCAGCGCCGCTCCCGGCCTCTTTGGCGCCTCCACGCCGAGCGCCTCCTCGCCCTTCGGCGCCTTTGGCGCGTCTGCAGCGACTCCCGCGAGCGGCGGCGCCTCCGGTAAACCCTTTCTTCCTCTCCCTCCTCCTCCTCCGCTGTCATGCTGCCCCCCCCCGACCATTTCACTGAGCAGGGGTCGCTGGGGGGGGGGCAGGTGGTGGTGGCATGAGCCTCTTCGGGGCCACGTCGAGCCTGCCCACGCTGGCTTCGGGCACGGCTCCCGCCTTTGGCAGCACCTCATTCGGAACGCCTGGCGCCGGCGCCGCGGGAGCCTCCCCTTTCAGCAGCGGCGCCTCGACAACCGCAGCTCCGGCCTTTGGTGCGACCAGCTTCGGCTCGACGCCGAGCACCCCGGCCTTCGGTCAGCCGGCATTCGGCGCGCCGAGCCCGCTCAGCGGCGCCACTGGTACGTCACACGCTCCTCTTCGCATCTTATCAAACCTCCCCCAAGGCGTGTACTGACGCAACGCTGTGGTGGCAGGCGGCGGCTTCGGCACTCCGGCATTTGGTGCGACCAGCTTCGGCTCGGCGTCGGCCGCTCCCGCAGCCGGCGGCGCCGGACAGCGCACCTTTGGCAGCGGATTCGGCGGTGCGGCCGGCGGCGGTGGCGGCGGCTTCGGAAGTCTCGCCGGGACGGGTGGAGGCTTCGGTGCTGCGGCTGGCGGTGGCGGATTCGGTGGCGGCGGTGGTGGCTTTGCCAGCCTCGTGCCTTCGGCGGGCGCGTCACCCTTTGGCTCAGCCCCTTCTGGTGGCGACGTCTGGGGCGCCATACGCAAGTGATGGCCCGTGTTTGGTTTCCCATCAATATGGGACGAACTCTTTTGCACAAGCCTCTTCTTCTGGATGTAAGCACGCGTCACTCCATCGCCTCCTCTTCCTCTTCTTCATTTGCTGGGTGTGCTGATGATGGGACGGAAGCGCTGGTGGGCGCAGGCGCGGTAGCCACGACGGGTGGCGTGGTTTGGAAGTGAGGGTTGACAAAGCCAATGCCCTCGCACTGGATGTAGTAGGCGTTCACCGCGTCGTCGGCCTTCGTCACCTTGAACGTCGCCTGTGTGTGCGGTGTGTGCGTGTGAGGTGTGCGGCGGTGAGGAAAAAATAGAGCGGTCATTACAGTCTGACAGACAAGAGAGTCGCGAGCACAGACGTACGCCGGTGAGAAGCTGAGTGAAGAAGATGGACGTCTCGGTGTGAAGCGAGAGCGGTCCGGTCTTGATCTTGGACGTGCCCTTGGCCAGCGCCATGAAGATGATCAGCTGGTCCTGCAGGTATTCATCCGTGCATCCGCCCTCCTGCAGGTCCTTGAGTATGCTCGCCGCCGCCTCTTCGGCCACCTTCTCCGCGGCCTTGCCCTGAAAATTATGCGGGGGAGATCAAGGGGGGGTCAAACAAAGCAGCGCGACTGGTGAGTGGTGCGCGGGGGGGATGCATACCCGCTCGCCCAGCGCGGAGCCGCCAAAGATGCAGCCGGTGGTGGTGGTGGCGGTGATGATGAGACCCGTGCCGTTGCCGACAGCAGCCTTGTCGGTCTCCTCCACGATCTCCTCCTCCACACTGACTCGCTGGTCCTCTGCGACGAGACGATACGATACGAGGGGGACGTCAACGCAACGCAACGCAACGCAACGCAAGTGGCGCACGCATGCGTACCATCGGCCTTGCGGAGGTAGTCGGTGATCATCTTTCGCGCGGTGGCGTTCATCCTCTCGGCCACGTGCTTGGGGATGGTTCCCGCGACTGGACGAAAAAGAGAAGAACAAACACGTAAGCGAGACCAAACGTGCGGTGTCGTGTTGTGGTGTGTCGTGTGTGCCGTGTGTGCCGTGTGTGTCGTGTGTCGTGTGTCGTGTGTCGTGTGTCGTGTGTCGTGTGTCGTGTGTCGTGTGTCGTGTGTCGTGTGTCGTGTGTCGTGTGTCGTGTGTCGTGTGTCGTGTGTCGTGTGTCGTGTGTCGTGTGTCGTGTGTCGTGCGTACCAAAGCTTCGAATGCGGATCGTTTTGACCTTGCCGCGTTCGCACATGGTGATGGGTCGCAGGGTGTCCTGCACCGGCTTCGTTCGCACGTGCACCACACCACCGCCCAGCGGGAAGAACCCTCTGTTTTTGCGCACAACGCCGGTCGGTCAGTTGGTTGCGGGGCGCCTCGCAAGTGGTCGGCACCACCAACATTGAGAGAGGGAGAGATCGACGATTGTGGTAAGTACCTCCGTTCGATGTCGACGTCGAACTCGACGCCCATCCGCTGCACGATGGGCTTGAACACCATGGCGCAGTAGTCCACCTGCGGCGCTGCGAGCGCGTTCGTGCCCCCGCAAAAGGTGACCACTACGTATGGCACACACGTGTTGCGTGTGTGCGTGTGCGTGTGCGATGGTGCGTGTGCGTGGTGCGTGTGCGTGGTCAGTCGGTTTGATGATGGTGGACACGACGGGTGCACTGCTCGCGTGCGGGGTAGCGTACGGGTCTCACGGGGCGCAAAGACGAGGCAAGGGAGCGAGATCTGGATCAGCAGCGTTGCGCTCCTTTGTAGCGCAGCACACGTCCCACGTTCACAATTGCGAAGACTGCGGTGAGCCCCAGAACAAGAGAGAGAGGAAGAAGAAGAAGAAGGATGAAGGAAGAAGATGAAGATGAAGATGGAGGGAGTACCCAGCGGTGCCCGTGTCGCCGGTGAACTGCTTGCGGTCGGCCACGAAGCGGCCCGGCCTGAAGGCCACCTCCCTCGACCACAGCTGCGGTGCCATTTTCATTTGATTTATTATTATTACATTAAAATTAAAAAATAAATATTCACAAAAACACGTACCTCGGCGCCGTCGAGCCATCCATCAAACATCTCGGCCACGAGACGGATGCCGGTGAGATGCTGCGCCATGAGGCCCGGCCGGTTGCGATTGGCTCGAATGTTGAAGGCTTTGATAGGCCGCCCGAGTAGTGCACTCAGCGAGAACGTGTTGCGCAGCACCTGGCCTCCACCCTCCTTGTAGGCACCATCGATGAGCAGGTGCGGATGTCCATCAATGTCCATCGTCACGCTGCCGCCCTCGGCCAAGGACGTGGTCGTGTGCAGTTGCGCCGCCCTGTTTTGCCTGGCCTCGAACTTGAGCATGTTGCGCCCCTTCTTCTTTCCTCCCTTCTTTTGTTTTGCCCTCCCTCCGCTGTGGTCGTTGCTGCCTTCATCTCCCTCTGCAGATTGGGCCTGCGCCTTCTTGTTTTGCTCTTCATTCTCTGCAATGGGCTTCTCGTTCCGATTTCGCTTACCGCCCCCTCTTCTATTGTCTCCTCCTCCTCCTCCTTTCTTCATTGTGGCGATTGATGTGTGTTGACGATTCGAGTGAATGCTTTGCTGGACAAGGCTCTTCGTTTTATCGCACTTTTTTCCACTTTATTTTCATCTTGATGTTCGCAGAAGGGTGGTTTCCTTCATCTTCTTCTTTTACAATGCAACAGTTGCGAGTAGAAAGTTAAATAGTCGTGTTCTTATCATAGTTCTACCAATCTTGAGGTACAATGATAAAGATGAATGTGTTTGGCGATCAGGGCGGCGTTGTTCATGGGAATCTAACGTCGAGCAGGTATTCGACCAGGTTCAAGATGAAGGGGATGTCAGCCACGTAGTTCTGTGACTTGGCAGTCGGGATTGTGCCTGCGAACGCGAGAGAGAGAGAGAGGCAAGTTGAGATGATGAGAGCACCCACGTTACCGTGGTATGATGGGATGATGGTTGAGTGGCGCACCCTCGGACGTCATGTTCGTGAGGACTGCGTGGTAGCCCAGGCCCAGTCGTGCCGTGCTCAAGATGTTGAGGTGTCGCGCGTGGACCAGCTGCACATATCACGCAACGACATGGTGAGTGCCCCACACAACCCTACACACTCTACACATCACCGTACCTCTATGACGTGTGCTCCAGGCCGCGTCGCATACAAGTTCGCGAACCCTGAGCAGAACAGACTTCTTGTGAGACGCCATCGAGATGGTGAGGTGAGACTCGAGTCTCACATATGTGGGCTTACCTGCTCCGTGCGGACCCAGGATGATGTCGGCCTGGCTGAAGGCGCGCCAGGTGTCGATCATAGGCGCCTTGGACGGGTGCTCCATGATCTGGAGGCGCACGTTGTGGCCGCGGGCCAGGGCCTTGAGCCGGTAGCGCAGAGCCAGGGTCCAGAAGGCGTCCTGGAGCTGGGCGTAGTTGATGATGATGCGGCCCACGCTCGGGTTGTCACGCACGATGAAGAGCAGCCTGATCACCACCTCGGGCTGGGTGGTGCCGATATGCTCGGCCTTGTCGTCGTCGACTACCGGGAGCGGTGCGGCAGGGTCGTAGGGCTTTTCTAGTACCTCATTGGTCGGGCCGAGGTACAACTGCTTGATGCTGCTCAGGGGAGTGAGCTCGCTCCTGCGCGCCTCGAGCGGGACGCCGGCAAAGTCCAACAGGTTGTGTCGGATGATACCGGTCATCGCCACCGAGGGCACGTCCGATCGGTCGATCGATTGAACGTAGTAGACCACCTGCGCTCGCACGTACTCCCAGCTAATGAACCGATTTCTGGAAGTGAAGAGGTGGTGCTGAGCGTGGGGCAACTGCAGTTCACAGTCACCTCTGGGACTAGTGTGTGGATGGGGGTGGGGAGCGACGTACTTGGGAAACCCGTACATCTCGCTGTACTTTTGGATGAAGGACTGGCCACCGTTGATGTGGATATAGATATCGGGATGGGCCAGCAGGTAGTGGTAGAGCGGCAGCATGCGATACGCTTCGCTCACCATCCAGTGCCAGAACATGTCCTGGTGCACGTGGGTAAGCACCAACACCTGCTCCACGTCTCGCCACTTCTGCTTCATCGTTCCGTTCGGCTGCAGGGGGAGGTCAGCACCACAGATCTTGCCCAAGCAAACGACAACATGCAATCGCCGGACCGGGGGGAGCTCACCTCAACGCCCATGGTGTCGTTGATGAAAGCGGGCCACCGGGAGCTCGCAACGTCGGGCCAGGCCTCGATGAAGAGGCCGGGCGAGAAGACGGTGCCCTGCCTGGTCACCCAGGCGTTGTAGATGATGCCGACCTCGGTGGGGCCCAGGTTGTTGCCCCGCCGGACCTCGTTGAGCCTGTCCCAGTTGTTGTTGGCCATCTCCACCGCCAGCACCCTGGCAAAGTTGTTGCCCGAGATCCGCTTGCCCACCTCCGACATGTTGGGGTAGAAGATGGGCGGGATCTGCTGCAGGCTGTAGGCGTTCTTGACGGCGTTCTCGCTCATCTCCGCAGCCCGAACGCCCAGCATCGTTTGGCCCGGGCGGCGGGGCACAAAGTCGAGGTAGCGCATGCAGAAGAGGTCAAAAGCGGTGCAACTCATCGTGTAGACATGCGGGTCTTTCGTCACTGTGCAACACAGAATCGTCGTCATCATCATCACCATCATCATGAAGTGTTAGTCAATGAAAACAGCATAGAGACCGCAGATCGCTACAGATAGAGATGTCGAGCTGCCGAGGTACCTGTCCAATGCTTTCCCAGACTCGCGGCCGACATGCCATCCTGCGGCGATGAGAAGATGATGCTCACCCATCAGTCGGCTGCAGAGAACGTGAGAAACGACGATGATGATGTGGAGGTAGCGACGTACAAAGCCAGTCTGCGGGGGCTTGTGGTCTGTGAAGTAGCGGCGAGTCTCCTCCCAGTTCAGCCTGTCGAAGAGCTGTTGTTCGGGAAGGCGGTGAGTGCTGGCGGTTGCTTGTGTGCGGGAGGGAAGAAGAGAAAAGAGCTGGTCGGGCGTACTTGACTGTGAGCCTCTTGGGCAGCTAGTAGCGAGGAGGCAACACGGCCTCGTGTCATTCGAAGGCGTTGGCCCAGGACCTCGGTGAGGTTCATGGCCTCGACGGAGGAGTATGCAGAAGGAATGGGAATCGAGCCGGCCAGTGTTGAAGATGAAGATGAAGATGATGATGACGAAGATAAAGATGCCGTAGTTATTCTCGCGAGTGGTGATGATTCAACTCCTGCGGTGAGATGGGGATGCGGCAGGCTGGAGAGGTAGTCTTTGTGGAACCCATCGTGCACGCCGTGGTGTACATAACCGACAAGATAGCCCACCGCAAAGATCCAGCCCAGAAATAAGAGCCAGCCCCAGGACCTGTGTAGCGACGAAGAAGGGGTAGAAGATGGCGCAGAAGAAGAGGATGCAGGCGACAAGGTAGGGGGCTGGGCAGTCGGTGCCGGTCCCGCCTTGCGCCGCCAGAAGGAAGACGTCTTCGAA